ATTGCATGCGTCTTTAGGAATACATGGACTCCTGGATGTGTTGGTCACAAATAATGGGCCATTGTTTATCAGCAGGGAATTTGAGTATTCCCTAAAGATAAATGGTATTCGACATATAAGGACAGCCCCATACCGTCCATCATCCAATGGTCTGGCAGAAAGAGCAGTCCAAACTTTGAAGGCAGACTTAAATAAACAACCTACACCTTCACTCAATATCAAACTGTCTTAGTTCCTATTTGATTATAGGATTACTCCTCATGCAATTACAGGGATAGCTCCTGCAAATTTGCTCATGGGGAGAAGACTCTATGCCAGGTTAAATCTGACTTTCTCGAACCTGGAGGGTAGGACAAAACAGTATCAGGAACGCCAGTGCTGGTCATAAGACTCCGCTAAGCGAAAGAGATTGTTTACTTCAGGGGACCATGGGAGTGGCCGTGCATGGGTAAGAGGCATGGTTGACACGAGGTCAGTTCCAGTGATGTTTAAAGCTCGGGCAGGTGCAACGATCCTGAATGAGCATGTGGACCATATGAAAGCAGCAAACTTACAAACGGTGCAGGAGCAAAATGTGCCTGGCTCCTTAACAGCCTTTCTGACTGTTCCAGAACCCCTGGGTTCTTTCAAGCATTGAAGATACCTCCAAATCTGAGATGGACGCAGTGGATGTCATCACCTCCACAACTTTTTTGCCTGAAGAAGAGAATGAATTTCTTCCGAGATGCTCCGTGTGCAAGAGGTGAGCTACTGTACGTTACACGCTGCCCATATTGGAGGCAGAGTTGGAGGAACTTGACCCCACGCTAAAACGCCCCAGGAGAAGCTACAAAAAAATCTGGCCTGTGAGCTTGAACTAAGAGGTCAAAGGATGTAGTGATTGTAACAAGGTTAGCCAGATGGACCTCATCGAATATGAGTTCCCTCTTTGGACCAGATTAACAGCCGCAATCAGGAAGCCCGAGCTGACGGATAAGAACAGTAGTGTCCCTCCTCCAACTCTGTATTGATTTATTTAGTCCCCTCCTTCTCTCCCTACACCCCATCCAAAAAAAAAATTCACTTTTGACCTAAACATTGCCCTTATCAGGCTTTGCTTGTTAATGTTTCACTTGCCACATGGTATTTTCCTGGTGGTGGAAAATATACAATAAAGTCTTTGCGCAATGGTATCTTTTTTGTTATGTCACCAAATAAAAACACACAGCCACGGGTGATTTGGGGAAAATATAAGCAGTAGTGCTGGGCCCCTCTTTTGGTGCAGTGGTAGCGTGGGGGAATTTATTAAAAAAAAACATGAGTATCGGGTGTTCTGTTCACTCTTGGAGTTGGCTCTGCCGTAGTGGAAAAAAAATGAACAGGAGTATCAGGTATCCTATTCACTCTGAGGGAGCTAGATCAATGTCAAGGATTCTCCACGTATAAATAAAGGGTGACTTGGTGACGGAATACTGGCCTCTGTGGAGTTATTTCACTGTGAATTAAGTATTCCAGGATACTTAACTATTAGAAGAAATGGACTAAATGAAAAAGGAGGAAATGCCTTGAAAACGAAAGATGGGATAAAAATAGTGAAGGGTAAGGGCCATAGCTCAGAAAATAAAACAAGTAGAATTGTTTTGGGTGAAGTTAAGAACAAAAAGCAAGCATCAGAAAGCATTGCTGTGGATTATTTGTCGCCGAATGAATTGAATAAAAAGGCTTGTCCAACAGGTTATCCATAGGCTATAGTGTCGTTCCACAAAGGCTCCTTTGTGGCCTGACAAACCTTGCAAAAAAATGTCAAGTATCACAATTTTGCAAGACACTGTTCCTCCACTTTGAAGAAGTTTCTCTCTATTGCTGCTGATTGGTTCACTAGGATTTATTGCCCATTGCTAGTTGCCCACAATTGTGAGATCTGGAAGTCGTTAGCTTTAGAATGGCTTGTCAGCAGTGAAGTTTGATGCAGTGTTGCATTGTTAGAATAAGAACAGGAGAGCATTTTGGCATCTTTCTTCATGACTGAACAGCCCTTTTCATGATCCACTTTGCTCACCCTGCATGGAGAAGATGGTTCAGAAAATGTGCCCTAAAATAGTCTGTTCCATCACTGACCTGCCTGGGAAACTGTATCTACCAGGCTCTTCTACCTGCAGTCTGAAAACCAAAATCAAACTCAATCTTGGAACCTAGAATATGCCTCAAGACCGAGGTCCACCTTTGGCTCCTGGAAGCACCAGCCAAACGTGTGGTCGGAGATGTGGCTCTAGGATCAGGCTCTTTAGCAAGGATGCACAGAACCCATGTCAGTGACACTGAATTTCCCAAGTAGACAATCATATTCGTTAGCAAGTGATTGCTGATGACAACGATATACACGACAGGGGCCAGTAGATTTTTATGCTCAGGGAATTGCAGCATCAAAGTGGGGTTGTGGGGCAAAAACCTTGCCGTGATCTTGATGAATTATGAGGACCGTTGAGTCAAATGGCCCACTACAGTTCCTACTTGTTATGTTTTTGTGTTCTAATAATTTTTAAAAAGTCAGATTTATTATGGATCATGACAAAAATCATCTGCGAGGCACATGGACAATTTCATGTGAACAGAGCATCGTATACAGGAAGAAAATGTTCATTAGGCCAACCCCATCCAGTGATTCTTCCTAACTTATTTAATCCATCAAGTCACTTTGATATCAACTCTAAACTGTTTGTTTCATCGCTTGAAATAATTCAAGAAAATTTCCAGGATACTACCGCACCAGTCTCACAGATGATTACTCCTCATGAACCGTTTTATTTTTTATATGCAGCAGACTTTTAAGGAACCAAACTAGAAACTGAAATTATTTTCTTATAACCCAAAATAAACAGCTGAAGGTGCTTTGTGATATAACTGCCCCTTTATGATGTCACAACGACAGAGTCGTGGCTTTAATTTCCATTGGTGTTTGCTATTTTTCAGAAATACAATGCTTCGATTACTCTTGCTTAGTCATCTGTTTGTTTTAGGAACCAACCAGTTACTGATTCCTGTGTAATTGGATAAAAACAATACTGTCGGATAATGGAGGATGAGAGCCCTGGACATGATGAGATGTACAGTAACAATTGCAAATAAATACTGCGTTTTATAAGCATAAAAGTCTAAAAGGTTCTGAATTTATGTTGCCATGGTATGAAGACAGACAAGTCACCATGGCCTGATGGCCTACATTCTAGAGTCTTAAAGGAAGTGGCAGCAGAGATAGTGGATCCATCCCTGGATGCAGGAAATGTTCCAATGGATTGGAAAAATGCTCATATAACACCCTTATTGAAAAAGGGAGCAAGGCAGAAAATAGAAATCTACAGACCTGTTAGTTTAACGTGTGCCATTGAGAAATTGTTAGAATTGATTATTAAGGAAGTAAAAACAGGACATTTGGAAAGTCAAAATACAACACATCAGAGTCAGCATGGTTTTATGAGGGTAAATCATGTTTGACTAATTTGCTAGACTTCTTTTGAAGATGCAATAAGCAAAATGGATAATGAGGGCTCTCTAGATGTAATATATCAGGATTTCCAGAAGGCTTTTATAAGTTGCTGCACCAAAGGTTAATACACAAAGTAAGATCACATGGGATTAGGGGTAATTTATTAACTTGGATAGAGGATTGGTTAACTGACAGAAATCAGTTTTGGGGTAAATGGATCGTTCTGTATTTGGCAAAATGTAACTAGTGGAGTGCTACAGGGTTCAGTCCTCAGGCCTCAACAGTTTACAATTTCTATTAATGATTTGGTTACAGAAACAGAAGATACTGTAGCCAAATTTGCAGACTACATTAAAATAGGTGGGAGAGTAAATTGTAATGAAGAAGTAAGAAATTTACAAATGGATATGGATTGGTTAGGTGAATGGGCCAAAATTTGGCAGGTCAAGTTTAAAGTGGAAAGTGTGAGGTTATCCATTTTGTTTGGCGAATTAGAAAGGTAACTTTTTATGAAGTGGAGAGAAACTTCAGAGTACTTCAGTGCAGAGGGATCTGGGTGTCCTTCATATGAATCACAGAAAACTAGTATGCAGGTAAAGTAGGTAATAAGGAAGGCAAATGGAATTTTGGCGCTTGTTGCTGAAAGCATAGAGTATGAAAGCAGGGAAGTGTTGCTTCAACTGTACAAGGCATGAGTGAGACTGCACTGGAGTATTGTGTATAATTTTGGCCCCCTTACTTGAGGAGGGATATAATTGCATTGGAGGCAGTTTAGAGAAGATTCACTAGATTGATTCCAGAGATCCTCGGTTGTCCCAAGAAGAAAGATTGAGCAGTTTAGGTCTATTCTCTCTGGAGGTTAGAAGAGTGAGAGGAAATCTAATTGAGGTACATAAAAAAAATGGTAAAAGGGATTGACAAAGGAGACATGGAGAGGATGTTTTCTCATGCTGGCAATCTAGAATGAGAGGTCAAAATTTTATGATAAGAGAAAGCAGATTTAAAACTGACATGAGGAGGAATTACTTATCTCCAAGCCTTGTAAATCTGAGGAATCCACGACACTGGGGTGTTGAGTAAATTTAAGGAGTACATCGACAGATTTTTAATTAGTAATGGATTGAAGCATTAGGGAAAGTGGGCAGAAAAATGGAGTCAAGGTCAAGAAGAGATTAGCCATGATTGTATCATATAACTGACCACGCTCGAGGCGCTGAATTGCCCACTCTTGCTCTTAGTTTTTATGAAAGAGAATCCCCAGTACTTGATGTTTTGCACATGAATTCTGCTACTGAAAACTGTTAGCAAACTTCAAAAACATATACAGTTTTAAAACAAAATCTCCTGGTAACAGCTTAATGATGCAAATCAAATGTTCTGCACAGATAAAGTAGGACCCATTATTTGAGTTTGTGTTGATTTTTAATTTTCTTAAAGTAAATGAGATAGAATTTCAGCTATCTGAATGAAGTTTGAGGCCTGTAGAATGCAACATATTTTTGGTAATTTTCAATTAAATATTTTGCATTACTCTCAGGAACACCCGTATCCTTGGTCTGCTTGGCCAGCTGGAGAAGATCAATTTGGAATCAACATTGCAAGATGTGGAAAATGGCCGTCATGTCACTGCCAAGCTTCTTCATCTGGTTCAGACTCAAGGTAATTTTGTAAGATCTTTATATTTGTAGTTTTTAATGGTTAGTCAAGCATAAACTATGTATAATTTACTTAGAATAGTTTTGGTTTACCTTGATGAAAAGCAGGCACATATAATTGCTTATACACAATAACTATCCACCACAGTTACTCTGTAGATCAGTACAGGTGGAAGAAAGCAAGTGATATCTTAGTCACGTAGCAAATATATTTACTTGTTATGTTACCTTTTGAGTTTCTAATTTAGCATTGCACAGAAAGAAGGTGGTTTTTTTGGGTAGAGTTGGAAAATATTTTCCATGAGCCGGCTAGTCTGACAAAATTATCAGTGAATCCTCAAGTGAATCTAATTTTGAGTTTAATGTGCTGTAGGTACTACTGTCTTTGCATTGCAAAGTGTTTAACCTCATTTAAGTTTTTGTAATTGTTAACTGGCTGTTCTGAGCACCAAATCTCATCAAGTTTAACTAAACTGTCTTCTCTTTGTCAATTAAATAATTTAATGTCCTATAATAAATAAGGTCAAACGGGTATATAGAAATAACAAAACAGAAAAGACTTATGGCTTAATCTGAACATGTTATCCTTCACGTGAAAGCACAATGTTTTCAATTTAAGATTCCTAGGTTCTTTACCTTGATGAGTATTTGCAATGGCCAGGGATGGTTTTAAAGATTTTTCAATATTTTGTAAATGGTGACAGACCATTTGCTTTTTTTAGTAGTTTTCCAACAGAAATCTTCACTCAGATTGACAAAACAAAAAAACTTTTCCAAAAATTAATGAATTAACAATTGCGTAGTGGGCTGTATTTATCATGTCTGTACGCCCTTCCTTTCTCCAAATGTTTGCCTCTTGTTATTATGCTTTTAAATGATTTATTTAAATTATAAATTACTTTTCAATTTTTCCAGTTACATTTGTGTTATCTGGTACCATAGCAACTGGAATGCTGCACCAAATGGAATCAGAGTTCCCCCTCCAATGGTCCCAAACCATCTGAACTTTAAACATTTTGACTACTCTGGAAGTATCAATGAGGGTGATATTCCAGTTTTAAAATTATTTATTTATCTTTTCCTGGTTTGTACCTTTTTGTCTTTCTTTAGGCAATAATGCCTTGCCTGAGCTGTTAATAAAAATGTAACACCCCAACCAGCCAGTAAGTGTTGTAGAAGAGTAACTCAATGTCACAAGTGTAGAGCAATATTTGTTTTCATGTCACCCATTACTTCTCTTGTTAGCTGTAGCAATTTAGTTATTGCTTCCTCTACTACGCTTTATAAAAGGCGTCTTTGTTTACAATCACAAGTTATTTTTTTTATGAAATTCAGAAACATCCCTATGTAAGTCAGCGCACATTTTTTCCACATCTCCTACTGTTGTTTTTGCGATAACTCTGACTAACACCATTTTTATTTGCCATCTGTTCCCACTGAGTGCCACATAACATAAATTTCATGATATAAAGAAAACAGACAATGCAATGATAGCAACATTCTACACTGTAGCCAGGAAACGCAGTCTTCTTCCATCTTCGCCGGTCTTGACCCTCTGAAGAAGGTGGCTGTTGCTGACAAGGACTGCCTCCTGTCTCCAAGCACGCATTCGTATATTTTATTTCAACTGGCTGGTTGTTTACCCTTTTTCAGTCACTTACTTCATTTTTATAAGCAACGAATACGGAGCAGGTACCCAAAACGTTACAGTGGTCAGCCACCCTTTCTCCACTTCTTTGGCTTGAGTTTACTTTTTTTAGTTTACCTCATGCTGAAGATCATTTGCTAGCTTTTACTAGACACTTGTATAGAGACAAAGGTACACAAGGCACCAAAAGACTCCCTGCTATCAGTGTCAGAATCTGTGTACTTTGTTTTGCCTCGCACTACTGGCTACTGTGTGTTTTTCCTGGAGATCAAAAATTAATACTGTGCCAATTAATTCCATAAGAGTTCTATACCATGCTCAAAAATAGTCTGCACGTAAGTCCTTTTTTTCTTGCAATGAACTGAATAAAGAATTCTAGTATACTGACTAAATATCTGCAGGTCTTTGTTTTGTGTCCTGTAAAACTAAGTATGTTAAGCTGAAAAGTGGATGGAGCCAGGTATTATTTGTATAGTATACAGTGCAGAGAGAAGTCTCAAAAATGCCACTTGAATTTTGAATCTAAGTCTTTATGCTGTTTGAATCTTGTTGAGTGTTAAAAATTATCTCGTTGCTACTTTCTTTTTGTTCTTTCATGGGATGTGGGTATCACTGGCTGGACCAACATTTATTGCCCATAATTGCCCCAGAGAAGGTAGTGGTGAGCTGCCTCTTACACCACTGCAATCCTTGGGTGTGGGTACTGGCACAATGCGGTTGGGAAGTTTCAGGATTTAAACCCAACAACAGTAAAGGAATGGTGATTTATGTTCAAGTCAGGAAGGTGTGTGGCTTGGAAGATAACTTGTTGGTGATGGTGTTCCTATGCACTTTCTGCCCTTGTCCTTCTACTTGGTGGAGATAGTAGATTTGGACGATGTTGCAGTTACTTTCTCATTAACCTGTTCGGATTGTTAAGACATTTCCTGGAGCAGGTGGGACTTGGATCCAGGCCTCATGGCCCAAAGATAAGTAGACTGCCACTGCAACGCAGTTGCTGTATTCAGGAGGTGCTGAATGTAAGATGTTTTCATTTCTAACATCTGTAGACATAGAAGGTTAGATTTAGTAGGCAGTCTTTCATCTTTTAATTTAATATTTGGTAAATTGAATGTTGGAAGCAGTCAAAACCTTTTTGAGAAACAAATATAGATGTGAATGGAGAAGTGAAACAGCTTATCTGTTACAAGCCTCTGGTTACTCAACTTCTAGGGGTGATAATGGGTGAATAGGATTGATGAAGTATTAGGCGTGGAGCAAAGAGCAGGGGAGGAATAAGGTTTGGCCAAGAAGTTCAGTGAAAAAAATGGCAAGGATAATAATGGAGTATAGGTATTTGAGGATGTTTGAGTAATTGACATTGGCTCCAACTTGAATTTTGCATTTGTTTCTAGTGACAAATTCCAAATTGTTGACATCTCTATTTCATCAACGATCTTTATAAGGACAGGAGTGTAATAGTCCGAGATCTGTGGATGCTTGTTTATTGACTATGTTCAAGGCATGATTGATTTTTGGAATCCAATGAAATCAAAAGTTATGATGGTTGGGTGGTAAACTGGAGTTGAGATCAATGTTCAGGCATGAGGTGCCATATGCCTTTTCCTATTTCTTAATGGACTTGTATAGCAATTCCACAGTATTTAATATTCTTCAGAACTCCTCCAAAAATGAAGAAGCCCATGCTATTTTGCAGTTGAGTCCGGGTTGTATTCAGGTTTAACTGTAAAGTATTGGGTAACTTTCAAGTATCCAAGTGTTAAACTGCCACTATCACAAGTGGAGGTGCCGGTGTTGGACTGGCGTTGACAAGGTCAGAAATCACACGACACCAGGTTATAGTCCAACAGGTTTATTTGAAAACAGAAGCTTTTGGAATCTTACTCCTTCTTCAGGTGTTAGTGAGAGAGGTTGTATCAACTGCAGAATTTATAAGTAAAAGATCAAAGGGTCACACCTTTGAGAATGCACTGAACAAACCTAAGATGCTGTTAAACCGTCAATCAGTTAGAAGGTTTTAATTGATTAATATGTATATGTAAATCCCTGAATTCCTTTCAAGTCATGGTTCTGAGAGAACTAAAGGTTTTATCAGTGTATAGAAGAGATGACGTTTTAGGTCGGACAATGCATGTTGGGTGTGAGGCCTTGTTTAGAATCTGTTTGTGTTGGACAGGTTTTATTTCTAAAGTAGTAATTTATAAAACACCACACTGACTGACTATAGATTGTGTGCTTTTTGAACAAAATAGAATGTATCTGAAAATACAAATTCACCCCATAGATTTGCATGTGTGTGCGCGCACATGTACGTGAGGGAGAATGTGTGTGTTTGTGTGTAAATGTGAGAGAGAGAGAGAGAATGTGTGTGTGAGGCTAAGAGAGGATCTGTGCGAGACTGTGTGCGCGTGCGTGCGTGTGTGTGTGTGAGAGAGAGAGAGTGTATAGTGTGGCGTATCACCCGTAGTGCGACATGAACCCAAGATCCTGGTTGTTGGCTTTAACCGGGATCTTGAGTTCATGTCGCACTACAGGCGATATGCCACACTATACACTCTGAGACACACACTCACACACGCATACGAATACATTCACTTCACACTCTCTCTCTGTCTTGCGCGCGCTCTCACACTCATTCTCTCTCGCAATCTCGCACTGTCACTCTCTCTCGCACTCTTGACACTCTCACACTCTCTCGCATTCTCTCACTGCCGCATTCTCTCGCACTCTCTCTCACTCTCGCACTCTCTCATTCGCGCATTCTCTCTCACTCTCGCATTCTTGCGCGCTCTTTCTCTTGAGCGCTCTCGCTCTCTCTCTCGCACGCGCTCTCTCTCTTGCGTGCACTCTCTCTCTGTCTCGCACATGCTGTCTCTGTCTCGCGCGCGCTCTCTGTCTCACGCTCTCTCTCTGTTTCACGCGCGCTCTCTGTCTCACGCTCACTCTCGCACGTGCTCTTTCTCTTGCGTGCGCTCTCTCTCTGTCTCGCACGTGCTGTCTCTGTCTCTCACGCGCTCTCTGGCACTCACGCACTCTCTGTCACTCACGCACTCTCTGTCTCACTCTCGCATACTCTTTCACTTGTGCACTCGCGCTGTCTCTCGCACTGTTTCTCTCTCGCGTGCACGCTCTCTGTCTCGCGTGCGTTCTCTCTCGCGCGCGCTCTCTCTCTCGCACTCACGCACTCTATCTCACTGTCTCACTCTCGCATGCTCTTTCTCTCTCGCGCTCTCTCTCTCACTCTCTCGCACTCTCGCATTCTCTCTCACTCTCGCGCACTCTTTCTCTTGTGCACTCTTGCTCTCCCTCTCGTGCTGTCTCTCTCTCTTGCACTGTCTCTCTCTCGTGCTGTCTCT